TAACTATGAACAAGGTAGGGTCTGGCAAACACAAAAAAAAATGAAATTATTGCTTTTTTTGATTAGGAAATTATACTGGTTCAATACGTCTAAAATTGCAGGGTTTTTTAAACAAATCATTACTCTTGGAATCCAATTTTTGATCCTGGTATCTACTTAGTAAATTCTCGTGTATCCATGTTTAGCTGGTTTGTTATTTGGAATTTCACAAGGTTTTGTCAAATGTTTTGCTGAAATTAAGGTGGTTATCTTTATAGTATTCCTGCAACCTACTAAAAAAAATATCTAATCAAAAAAGTTGGTTGGGCAACTGTTTCTGAAAAATACAGTTTTCTGGTAATTACCATATTTTTCAAGGTGCTTAAATCACTTTATATTTTTTCTATAATCTTCCCAAGTATCACTGTCAATAGTGTTTGTTTATAGTAGAGTGTTTGTAGATCCCTGGATCCTGTTTTCCCCTGATTCTCCACAACAGAAGTAACATTTGCCCTCTTCAATCATCACTTCTTTAAGTTTTCTCATAGATATAATTCATTCAAATAATCTGCAGATCAATTAATCTGGCCCTGGAAATTTAAACTCTTTTAAAGGAAGAAAATATTTTGTAGCCATGTTTCATCACACCCAAATAATAAATCCCACATCTTTATTTCCCTCTTCACTACTGCTTGAACACATATCCTCTCTTCAGAGAAAACTGACAAAGTAGCATTTTGTCATCTGTTAGCATCTGGGTATCCTAGCTTTTACTAGAAAAATATCTGAAGAATCTTTTGTTGTTCTTAGCAGTTTTTTCTGGAATGATTCTCTTGATGATCTTCCCTGTACAGAGACCCTTTTCCCCCTTTAAATCCTCATGGATATGTTGTGCAGCAACATGACTTGTATTTTTTACCTCATTGGAACTATTAGCAACTACATGATCATGGCTTCCATGTTCTGCCATGATGTTCTACTTATCATTGCTCTCAATTTGTTAAAAAATCTTAACTTTACTTTTTAAACTTTTAACTTAACTTTTTATCTTGGACTTTACTGGTCCAAGATAAGTCTTCAATTACCCTCAGCCTTTAATTCTATTAAAATAAACAATGTTAGCCTAATACAATCATTTTCTTCCAGTATTGCTGCTATTTCCATTTATCAAGTATAAACAATCAAACTCACAAGTGCAGAGTTAGGGCTAACTACTTTATTATGTTCTGCCTGTAATATAGAAATCTTCCCAGTTTGACAGCCTTCTCCTGGAAACAATTAGATAAGGCTCCAGCCTTGGGGGGGGGGGTGTAGACCCTAGCTCTTTTGCGGTTGTACAATGACTCCAGGCTAGCTCCACATTTGATCCCTCCTCCCTTCCAGGGTAGGTGCTTCCCAACACAATTTCATCAATTATATATTCTTTGTTGATTTATATCAAGTCAAGAAGACTATGTCTCTTCCACTATCATTAGAAGGAGAATATAGAAGACAAGCTGGGATTTTCCTGAAATAACTATGCTTGGCAGAGTTTGCCTCACAATTATATGTCAGTAATTAATTTTTTCTTGGCATCATTACTTGAAACCTGTTTGAAAGATCTAAGTTTGCTTGTGGAAAGTTTAATCCATATTGTCTTTTTGCTTGGGCAGGTAATAGCAGACATAAACAACAATGTCATTTTTATACATTCTTCTACTTGTTTTAATTAGATGTTCTTGACAGGTTCATTTCCTTGAATTTCTGAGCAGGTGTGAATACTTTTAATATTTAGTTCATCTCCTCCTCCTCCCTTTCATTTGCTTCTGTTCCTTTTGAAAAAATTACATCCTTCAGCTGCTGAACTGTAATCCTCAGAGACATCCCAATGGGTCTTACACCTACTAAATCATATAAAACATTTCAAACCCATCTTTTTATTTCTCCTATGTTGAAAACAATAGACAATGAAGATCATGAATTTTATATGCTTTTTTTAATTTTAAGGTTGAGGTCTTTAACAGGGACCATTACATTAATGCTCCCTTTTCCTTCTGCACTGCACAAATTGTTTATCTAAAGCAGGGGTGTCAAATTCGCAATGTCACATGACGTGTCGCAATGTATCGTGACATTTTTTCCATTGCCGGCAATAGGATGGGCACAGTTTTGCCATGATGCATCCGGCCCATGGGCCGGCAGTTTGACACCCCTGATCTAAAGCTTTCTTGTTGAAGCTCATCATGGTTTGAGCAAATGCACTTTTATTAAACTCTTATCATCTTATGCCACATTCAAAGGGCAAAATGTGATTTATTGCATACATAAACAGCCATTCCATCCTGGGAAAAGGTGCAACTGCTTACGTGTTTCTGATAGGAGCAACATATACTGTATATCTGTTTAGCAAATCACAATTTTTTTCTTCAAATCCAGATTTCTACACAATCCTAGTCCTTAAAACTATTATCTCCTGTATCTAAACCAATTAATAAACTGTTCATCAACAGCATTCTTTTCTTTCCCATCCTTTTTGTGTGAACTTGAAAGATGAATCGGAATACCACCTTAGGCTCCTGGTTCTTGATCTTTCTTTCTCATTAGATATTTTAGCTACTCCTGGCAATATCATTTGTCCCCACATGGATAAGCAGGATGAGATAATTGAAAGTTGTTCTGTCCCATCAATAATCTGTGCTCCTAGCAGAAAGCACATTTCATGAGTCCATGGATCTTGTTAGTTTCTCACCTGCAGCAGTGAGTTGTCAATTACAGTCATTCATTTGTCTTCTTGCAGATGATATGACATGGTTTCACCTTTGAAAAACTCATGAATAAAGCAGTATGCCAATAAGAGTTACTGAATGGCATCCAGCAGAGGACAGAGCCTATGAATACACAACATTCATAATCCCTTTACCTGCTACTTGCAATTATTTTTAGCTAACGTATTTTTAATACAAAATTCTATAAAGAGGGGTTGTAAACATCACCTACTTTTAGAATTGCTTTTGTCTCTGGCACTGATCAATAAACCAATTTATACTTCAGCAAAGATGCGTAGGTCTCCAGTTTAAAAAAAATGACCTATTCTCCAACAATAATGTGATTTTTGGCTACATAAGATTGTTACCAGAGACGGGATTACTGATACTTTATATTATCTGAATTTTATTACTGTATATGAACAAAAATACTAATATAACTTCTTTGTATTTATTGTAATCTGATTATATAATCATGTTCAAGTGAAACAGAAAGGGCTTACCTCATGTTTTAAATCTATTGTAAAATCTGACTTTAAAGGTTCATTCTTCAGTCTCCTTGCAAGCCTAAGCAGTAAGAATAATAAAAACATAATAACAGTATGTGGAAAAACATCAAACTTTTAAAATGAAGTTACCCAACCATTACATAGTAACACAACATTCTGTAATCCTATCTTAAATGATGACAATATAGTGTAGATTTCCACATTTAAAACTGATGAAATATCAATGACTGTTTGATAGAATCTGACCATGGTAAAAAAATAAAAGTCTGTGATTCATGAAACAGAGAAGACGCTTAGAATATAGATAATGCCTACTCTGATCCAATAATAGTGGAGAACTCCTATTTCTTTGTCCTCATGGCAGCCGAAGCAGCTACCAAGACAAACCTTCCTTAGATGTCAAAACCAGACACTGCATGGCACTTTGAAAGTAAAGTCAGCTATATATTTTAAAATTTGATATACTTCTTTGTTTAGTTAAGTTGGGTGGAACTATTTTCAGCTTTAATACATGGGCAATACATCTGACCAAGTCAGCCAGTTTAGTATAGTGGTTATAAGATCAGGCTACAAGCCAGGAGCCTGTGAGTTTTAGTTCTGCCTAGGCACAAAGCCAGCTAGATGACCTTGGATCAGTCACTCTCTCTCAGCCCTAGCAAAGAGGCATTGGCAAACAATCTTGCAAGGAAAATAGCAGGGACTGGTGTAGGCAGTTGCCATATGTCAACACTGACTCAAAGGCACGTGTGCACACACTCTGTCTCTATCTCTCTCTCACACACACACAGAGCTGGCCAACTGAATTTTTGATTCTTGTCATTAAAAAAATAGATTATATGATGGCATCGTTTGTCTTTCTGAAAAGCAGTGTTGTCAACTAACTTGAAAAATGTGTTTAAGCCTTAAGGAATTCAGGACCTAAGCCTTAAGGAATTCAGGACCTAAGAATTGTACCTACGTACAATTGCGGACCTGCGGTTTTTCGCCGAGCCCTGAAGGCCCATCTATTCCGTGCGGCCGGCCTGGCGTAGTTTGATTATGTTTTAGTGGGGGTTTTGTATGGGGTTTTTTTAGAACAGGCCTGTTATTTAATTTGATTTTAGCACAGAGCATTTATTATTGTGGTTTTTAGTATCGCCTGTTTACCGCCCTGAGTCCCGTAAGGGAGATAGGGCGGTATATAAATTGAATAAATAAATAAATAAATAAATAAATAAATAAATAAATAATATTCCTTTTTCAGGTAGGCAGGGAATCTTCAAAACCTCAGGTAAATACTTTTGCTATAAGTCAGCCTTTCCAACCTGGCACTATTTAATTCTTGGATTCCAAGTCCTAGAATTCCCATTTCATCATGCCCACTAGGAATTTTGAAAGTTGCAGTCCCAACATAACTGGAGATAATCTGTAAGCAGATTATCCAGAAAAACAGATGAGAACAATCTTCCCAAATAATAACAAATGCCAAAGCACCAGAGTTGGAGAATATGAAACATACTTTTATTAAAAAGCTCAATTTTGTGTATTTCACTGCAAATATTTAATCTTTCAAACGTGTGAGGCAGGCAAACCTGGACCACCTGGACTTCTGGAAGGACTGTTATTGCTAGTGGCATGATGTAACTGAATCTTGAAAACCTGTCTAAGCAATTCTCCTACTCAGTTTATGCCTAACATAATTAAAGCAAGGTTGCTCTTTCTCATATTCCCCCCATCCCTGGCCTGAGGTGTCTCTTTTGCAACAGTTCTTTTTCCTCCCATTATTAAAATAGTAATATATTAACTAAAATCGGTAATATGCAATTTAATATGAAAATATATTTATATATTTCATTCTATGGAATTTATATTTTTGTATAAAATTATATATGTATCACTTTAATCTCTGATATGCATTCTTTGTCCAATATTTCTTCTCTTTTACTTTGTACTTTTTATAGTTTTAAAGTTTTTTAATAATAATAATGTTGCATATATTATTTTATAACTCTAATTACTACCCAGAATCATTTGTTTGCAAGATGGGCAGCCATATAAATTTGAATAAATAAGTACATTCTACTCAATATGTTTCATTTATCTGTGAGCATTTCTGACTAGAGTGTTTGATTTAATTCTTCACTTCCATTGCTTTGCATTTTATTATGTATCAGATTATTTGGATCATTTTCCACCCTGGATTTTGTACTGAAACATCCCTGGTGTAAGTAGGTTCTCAATCCAGCTATAAGCCTGGGATTTGATATGGAGATGCCTCTGGTTGCCTGACAGAATACCTCTATTGGAGACAGACTGTAACATAAGTATAGCAATCTTGCTATGCTCATTTATAGTTGGGCATCAGAGGAACTATGCTATAGAAATTCTGGATTTGACTTCAACCTGTGCTACCATATTCTAAAGTCCAATAATGTCTATTTTTCTCTTTTTCAACATTTACATGCTGTGATCCTGTCAATATTGTGTAACATCAGTCTCCAATTCTCTTTGGACCATTCTCCAATGCTGAATTGAAGTGTAGCCATCTTTCACTGATTCACATAAACCTACACTGCATGAAATGTTCTGTTCCGCTGCCTAATCTTAACTTGCCTCTATTGACTTTGTTCTGAGTCATGCCAAATAGTTTTCTCCTCATTATGCATGGGCAATGTATAATAGTAACCTAAGTAATTTGTTGATTGTTTCAGCTTTGTTGCCTTCTCTTTCTCTTTAGCATATCACCAGCTAATAGGAAAGACATCTACCAAACCATAGCACTGTAGCAGGAAAGAGGAAGATCAGACTGTATGATCCTACCATCATCTTTGGGTTTCATCCTGTGTCTAACATTTCATTTTATTATAACCCAAGTTAAATAAAATTAAAAACTAATGATGGGTCAGTCATGAAGAGAGCTGATTCACAGGTAGCCTTTTTATTTAATATTGCTTTTTCCTTTACATTTTTGTATGACGAACAAATGCTAAGCTTCATTTTCCTCTTTTGATTTCAGGATCCAATGGACCAATTGATTCTATAATTTCACTTTTATGCTCTTTCAGCTTTCTGCTAAATTCAGCAACAGGATCAAAGTATTTACAGTTCTGTTGCGCAAGTCGTGTAACACCTATTACACAATTTTACCAGTTCATTGTTTACATTTATCAGTTGCTGATCACTTACATAAATTTGTAAACGATGCAAAATAGTGTGACATCCATGTATCATATTGTCTATATAGCTTTATCTTTATATATATTAGATACATATGCATATTTCTGGAATAGTAGCTTATACAATACATAAAACTGGATTTTAAATGTTTTAAATGAGATAAAAGCTGATGAGTGATTAGAGATTCTCAGTACTTTTATATACATACACACCAAGATGGAAAGACTTTTAATGTTTAACAGCATCACTTCTCCAAAGCCTTTTAAAACCATCAACTATTCATTAAAACAATTTATAATAAATTACACCAAGCAATCTTACTTTTTTACAAGTGGAATACTAAGTGCCCAGCCAGCAGCAAAATCTGGAAATTTAAAAACTGTAGGGTTTTCTGCAAAGGCATAATGATGGATAATTGTAGATTCATCATCATGTAATGCTTTGCCTAAAAAAAATTCCTGCAGGAGAAGAGAAATATTATTGAATGTTCTTAGTGAATTTAACTTCACTAAGATCCTGAAGATCTATTACGCGGTCCACAGAACCTTATAAACACTATATTTTTCTCTACATACTTATTCGAGTGCACGAACACACAGAGAGTAAAGGCATCCTTAATTGTATAATAAATCATACTAATGCTTCATCTATCAAACTTAAACATGTAAACCAATTGTGAAAGTTTGGAAACTTATGACCTTCCAGATATGGAGGAACCATAGTTCACTGCATCTTTCACCGTTCATTATGTTGATTGGAGGTTCTATTAGTGGTAGCATTTCAGCAAAATTAAAGTCTAGGTTTGCACAGGCGAAATTGGATGGCAGACAAGACTAATTTTTACCAAGAAACAAGAGATAACAATTCTTTATATCAAAACAATTTTTTTAAAAGTATGTTTTGATGAAAAAATCATATGGACTTGTTTGTGTAAAACAGATGGTCCCAACATCATTCTAAACCCAAAACAAAGGATGAATAAGCTTAGCAGCTTATATGTGAGTCAGACAACTGTGCAAGAGTAGGTGAAGAAACAGTATACGCTAACTGCTATCTAATTTACAGAAAGGTAGTCAAAGATTTTTTAAAAAAGAAAGCCTATTTCCCCCCACCACCTAAAAATGTGTCAAGGTAATAATTTACCTTGGTTATCTCAGCACAATAAGACTGCGCATGCTCTGACAGGTTAGGGGCCTAGAGTGAGGTGAAACCCAGTGAGAGCTTGACCCAGAGCCAGAGGAGTTAAGGCTTATGGCTTGTTGTGGTTTGTGGTGGTAACAGGCAACATGGAGTCTGTCAGCTTAATGGGAGGAGGTTTCGTAGTATCTCGTTTGAATGAGACAAACTACGTCTCCTGGAGTCTGAAAATAGAGATGTACCTGTGAAGGGAAGAGTTGTGGATGATAGTTGCTGATCTATCTGCAGCCCTGGATGATGGGACTGGAGAAAGAATTAGAAAGCATTGGCCAGCATAATCCTGAGTTTGGAGGATAGCCAGCTGATACACGTGAGGGGTCTCCAGTCTGCTAAAGAGTGCTGGGAAGCTTTGCGCAGTGTATACGTGAGAGACTGCAAGCAGCAAAGTAATGCTGACGAGAAAGCTATATAAGGCCCAGCTGAAACTGGGAGAGAGCATGTCTACTCATTTGCAGTCCATGAGAAAGACATTCCTAGAGTTAGAAGAAAGAGGAATGACTTTTACTGAGGCACATAAGGTGTATGTGGTGCTCAGTTCATTGGACACTTCATGGGATGTCCTAGTGACCAGTTTAGAGTCCATGCAAGAGAGGGACTTAACCATAAGTTATTTGACTGGCCGGTTGCTGGAGGAGGAACAGAAACAGCTGGAAAGGCAGCAGAGAGGGGGTGACAATGCACAGACTAGGCCTAGAACTACAATGTCCAAAGATGCCAGCAGGGCAGCCGAGAACGTTTGCATGGTGAAACGCTGCTTCAAGTGTGGTTCTACAGAGCATCTCCAGAGACGCTGCCCTGAGAGGAGAAACAGAGGAGCAGCAAAACAAGGTCATAGAGCTACACAATCGACATTTTTCCTGGCAGCAACATTAACTGAAAAGAACACTTGGGTGTTGGACAGTGGGCTGAGTCAGCATATTGCAAATGACCCACAAATGTTTTCAAACCTAAGACCAGCTAAACAAACATTTGTTAGCTTGGCAAATGGACAACAGTCTGCTGTTAAAGGGGAAGATATAGTTTATGTACCTAGTATTGGAGAAACGTTGTATAATGTATTATATGTACCAGAGCTAGACCATAATTTACTCAATATTTCAAGCTTAGATAATATGGGGTTCGAAGTAATGTTTGCAAAGGGTCAATACATCATTAGGAAAGTTGGGAGGATTTGTGCACAAGGTGTTAAGCTGGATAATTTATACGTGTTAGAGAAGAAGCAGGATGGTTGTGCACGAACACTTACAAACACTCCCAAGCATGATAATTGCGTACATTTATTACACAGGTCCAATCTAGTACGTTCAAAATTTCACGAGTTTTCCTACGGTCTCGATCGACTTCCTGAATTGAAATTCGTTACATTATGTATAAATAAACCGCGATAAACATTCCTCGGTTTCAGGTCTCACATAGGACATTCATTCTTTTCGAGTTCCGTTTGTCTCAAAACGTCAATCACGTGTGACTAAATTAACTAGGATACAGACCCTCTGTAGGAGGGGCTAGGTACATACTAGTCTTAATAAATGACTACACCAGATATGGGTTTTGCTATTTATTGAACAGCAAAACAGAAGTTCTACAACAGTTCAGGCAATGGGTGAACTTTGTAGAGCGAAGATATGGCCATAAAGTATGCCAGCTGCAAACAGACAGGGGAACAGAGTTCATGTCTGACAACTTCCAAAAGTGGCTGAGGAAATTAGGCATAAGGCATAGACGTACAAAACCATACTCACCAGCAGAAAATGGAGTTGCTGAATGTAGGAATGGAATTTTGCAAAACATGAAAGACTCACTGCTGGCAGATGCAGGAATGAGTAAAACATACTGGGGGGAAGCCATGAAAACAGCCATCTATCTAGTAAACAGGGTATGGAGTGTTGCTATCAATGAAACTCCATATTACCTGTTATATAGAAGGAAACCTTGCGCGACTCCCCCATCGCGCAGGCATGGCCCAATACCATTCTAAGGGCCGGCCTTGATGAAGGGGTCTGGAACCCCGAGAGGTGGCACTCAGCGACAGCACTGAGGGAACTAAGAAGAAGGAAATTACGTGTCTTCTTAGAGGGGTGTTTTATTAAATTTTTAGGGGGGTCGGGGTTGGCCCGAGGGGAACTAGGGGAGTCCTCTCTGAGGCCAAGGCCGGTCCTGTCTGGGGGGCGCGGAGTGGTAAGGGAGGAGACTGGGGAGTTGGCAGAGGGTGGTGCGATAGGTACGGTCAGTGGGAGGGGCAGATATGGCGGGAGCAGAGGACCATATCGGGTTTTGGGAGCACGCACACGCTGCTTACAAGCTTGTGGGTGCTCCGATCCTCAGAGCTCTACTCGACTTCCAGGGACCTCAGATCCTCAGGCCCGGGACCATCAGCTGATGCTGTGCAATGCCAGGTCCGTGG